GGATCTTTGTTTTGAGGGTTAGCTAGGTTTACTATATTAGCAAAGGCTAGCCCACAATTTACCCTAACTGACGAATGTACTTGATTTTGTTAGATAATGAGTATATTAAAAATCAATGGGAACTTGGGTCTCATATTGTTTAACCATTAAACTTGAAAGCGAATAATACATAAAAAAAAAATTCTGTATTCTTGATAATGTTCAAAACTTAGACTTCTTATAGACTTTTATTGCCAATTAAGTTTTCATTCAGTTTTTTGTCAGGATTACATCGATTCTTTGAATAAAAAATAATCTCGTGCGAAGGAAAATAAATAATCCCAGATAAGACCTTAAATACGATCCTGAACACTCGTATTTTAAATATTTTCTTTTTACTCATTGCGTGATATTAGATCACTACCTACTCAAAAATAAAAATATTTAATGCAAATACATACTTAAGCATTCTAAGCTACCTTTGAGGATTACCTTTGAATATAAGAAAAATATAATCGCCAGCTTTACTTTATTATTGCATGAGCGAGCAAAGAAATTGAATTTGTAAGATTACAATTATAATATAGTAGAATATTTTCTACCTATTCGGTATCAAGTTCCAGGTGGTACTGTAGATGTAATCTAATGATATTAGAATATTATTTCAAAGTTTTGTGTCAAGAGTTACAGATTTAATATTAATATAATTGTCCTTGTACTGTAAATTCACATTATTATAGCTATATTTAAGAAGAGAATTAAGTGTTGGATTACCAGAGAGACGGATGTTTCTTAATCAAAAGCTCAAGTTTGCAGAGACTTGCATTAAGTCATTCCACTTTAGTATTTAATTGTTAATAGTAATAAGGACTTAACGTGTGCTTATAAAATCACACTTAGTTCCAAAAAAATGCTTTCAGTGATAACCTACTTTTCTTCAGCGTACGACCAAAATTAATCACTTAAAATCGAAGTTTTTTGACAGAAATTCAATAGGACGAATGACAAAAATCGATCTTTAGATGAACGAACTCTTTGGAATGAGACAGATTTGTTTGGCGTTAATCATTATAGTTCGATAGTTCGGACGGACGGATAAATATGGGGGCTAAACTACCAAATTGTTGAACTATTAGTTAGTTACGCACGCAGATAACCTTTAAGTTACGTAAATACAGTAAGGCATTATGTAAGTGCGTTTTAGCAATAGAATCTCTTATCTAATTGCCTATTGACAGACTGCTTCGTTGGCCGACTCTTCGCAAGTGTGAATGCCGGGCAAGGGGTCTCGGGTTCAATTCCTGAGTCGGGCTATTACTGGATTTAAAAAGAAATCTCAGTAGTATCGGAGTTTGGAAATGTGCCCGGTATATGGCAATAGGCTGACTCCATATTACATGAGACTCATAAAATAAATAGTGAAAAGTGGGTGTTAAATTGGGTAGTGGCATTAAGTGCCGTAATGTCCACCTCTGCTTAAAAGAAGTAAGTGACAACAGCTTTCCTTTGTAAGCGTATTTACTTGTTCAGTTCTTACACAACAACGGATCATCATGCCGTAAGAGGATCGACTAGGAGACCAATTGAACTGAATGCACCACAATATATTTAGGTCTAGGCTGAACCGATTTATGATCTAAGTATTCTCAGAAAATAAGCTTCATATCTGCAATGACGTCAACCTCGCGGTTTCTAAAGTTGAAAGGATGTTCCTAATTAGAGGTTTTCTTTGAGAGTCATATGTCGTCTTTCAATGTGCCTTTATTGTGGTATTTGGCTTACAAAAGGCGATTATCTAATACAATGATGTAAGTGATTTTTCTAAGGTGTTCATTATTTTATATGGATTTGAATAAAAATATGCGGTATTGTACTGCTTCTCTTCTGGGTTCTTGTATTAGGTACGTTATTATATTTTTCATTAATAACAGACCCTTAAGTATAATACTTGAATTTCTCTGTTATTCTTTTATACAAAGTTTTGTGTTCTTTTTAGTCTGTGCTGTTGTTATTTTGGTGTTGCCAGTTTCTTATTAAGTTTAAAACTTTTGTATTTATTTTCGTAGTTTCCTTCTCTAGATGTAGTCTCAAAAGTTGTTGATACAATTTGATTGGGATTTTTTAGTTCTTATGTTTGATAGTGACTCTTCAAACTTTGTAGGCTAGTATGCTATACACGGCAGTGTGTATTCACACACGCTTTTAAGTGATGGCAAATATGAGTTTTGCATGTTTGATACACACGTTTCAATTTGCGTCGCTGTTTGTGTTGCTCATAGGTTCTAATCAATCGTTAAACTTTTAATTGATTGGGAGTTCCATGAAATATTTCTACCAGAAGTTTGTTTAAATCAATTACCGCGTCATATGAACGTTTTTAGTCCATACTTTAGTATCAGTGTATACGTCAAAGGAAAATTAAATGAAGTGAATATGTTTTCCGAGCAATCGGGTTATCTTATATATATATAAAAGGAAGTCATGTTAGTTACACCACTTATAACTCAAGAACGACAGAATAGATTTGGCTGAATATTGGTAGGGAGGTAGCTTAGAGCCAGGAGACCGACATAGAATACTTTTTAAACAATACTTTTTTTTTTACTTTTTACCGAAAATCACGAACGGGGACGGGAAAAAATGGGATTACGCGTACGAAGTCGCGGGCAGAAGCTAGTTTAATATAATTAAATCTGAAAAACGAATAAAAGTCGGTATTAATTGGAAGTGAAGCTTTATTTTTCATTCGACGTATTTATTGGTTGCTATAAAATTGTTATGTTGGCATACCTACATGTTTTAACTGAAAATTATTATCGAGGGTTCTGTACCCAGAGATTTCGTGTTTTCATTCAACACAATAACAGATTGATATTATTTGTATAGATTCGATTAGAGTGGAGTAATAGTAGTATATGGTTTTAAATATGGTGCTATTTAATTATGTGTTTTGTTTAGTCTTTCAGCGGAGTGTACGTACTGACTTTAAAATAGGGAAGAATTTTAAATAAACGATACGGTACGGTAAATTTCGTTTGCTTTTCGTTTACCTAAGCATAATAGTTAGATGATTCAAAATAGGTATCGTATTTATGATATAAATTAAATACTCAGAAGTGCATACAAGCTTTAAACTGCATATTCTTCAACAGACTGCCTCGTTGGCCGAGTGGTCGCAAGTGCGACTGCCGGGCAAGGGGTCTCGGGTTTGATTCCCGGGTCGGGCAAGGTAATACTGGATTTTTAAAAATTCTCAGTAGTTCCACGGAGTCTGGAATTGTGCCTAGTATATGGCAATAGGTTCACTCCCTATCACATGGGACTCATAACATAAATAGTGAAAAGTAGGTGTAACATTGTACAGTGGTATAATGTACACGTCTGCCTACCCCATTGGGGATAAAAGGCATTATGTTATGTCTTCAACAGAGTTACATTGTGGAAATTAAATTTTAGTGCTTCTTCCTCGGACGAGCGCTTAATAACATAAAGAGCTCTAGTGGAGTATCCTATTTGTTTTAATATTAAAGTGAAAGAAGCTAATTAACTGCAAGTTTGCACCGTTTGCTTATCAAAACAAACCGATACGGCTAATTAAGATAATATAAAAGTAAATA